AAAGCAGGAATGGGAATATCAGCTTGACTGTGAAGTTTTTAGTCTAGCTGTCTTTACTCCGTGCTCTTCTGTTATTCCTGGCTAGTGGACTTAGTCTGCAGGAATGAGGGGTTATCTGTTGCACTTTTTTTTCCTCAATTTTCAGCAAAACCTTGGGCAATTCTCCTATCTTTTTTGCATGCCAGTTCTTCTTTTACATTTGAGAGTATCACATGGCAATTCAACTTAGTGTATTTTTCTGGAATGAAAATATTTTATGGGTGGTATTTTTCTCACCAAGCCATGACAAGGATAGGCATGCTGGCAGAGTCCTGCTGTGGCTGCAGTGGAAACCCAGGATAAAAGACTTTTAGATTAGATGCCAATCAGACAAATCCTGTCTCAGCTGTAAAACCCCCAGGGATCCCCTCTCTCCTTTTCTGTGTATTTCTTCCCAAACCTAACCCCGAGTTTCCCGGGCTTCGTGCCCTGCAGCGGAGCAGAAGCGCTCGGTGACGTTCACGGAGGCGCAGCCCGAGGCAGCCCCGGGGAGCGCCGCGGAGCCGCCGGCACAGCAGCCGGGCTGCAGCCGCAGCAGCCCCCAGGCCGCCGGCCAGCAGGAGCCCCTCGGCAAACCTGTGCTGACGTCCTCGCCTGCCATCGTCGTGGCTGATCTGCACAGCCAGGTAACGTGACACTGCTGGCTCTGTGCCCGTGTCCCTCCCGGCATGGGGCTGCAGTACAGCGCTGTGATGAAAGCTGGCAGGAGGGTAAAGACAGCAAACTCTGCTGTCAAGCCCCTGCTTCTGTAAAGCCATTCCCCTCCAGCTCTATGCAACAAGTCTTAATTTGAAAATACATTTTCTGCATCTTCCTCTTTTGAAAATACATCTTCTCTTTCCATCTTCCCATCACATACAGTGTCCTTGTGCACCTCATCACCAAGGCAAGCTGTCCTCAGCAGGTTTGCACAGCTTGCTCCCTGAGAGGTGTCCCCTTAAGGAAGGAATCCATCAAAGCCTCTGGACTGTTTAGGCATCACATTGCAAAAGAAATTGCTTGTCCAGCAGTTTTCTGTGTTGGTCCCCACTGAGGATGGTGCAGGGACAATCCCAGTCATCCCTTCAACACATCAGTGACACTGAGATCACTTTTATATGCCCAGATATCCAGTGTCCTTTGAGGTTATGTTCTTTGCCATGCACAAATTAATGATCTCTGTCTTCAGAATCAGAGAATGAATCACAGAATGGTTTGGACTCATTCCACCCCCTTCCACTATCCCAGGTTGCTCCAAGCCCATCCATCCTGGCCTTGAACACTCCTAGGGATGGGACAGCCACAGCTTCCCTACGAAACCTTTTCCAGTGGCTCACTATCCTCAGTATAAAGGATTTTTCCTAATATCTCGTGTAAACCTACTCTCCATTTGAAGCCATATGCTAAAAAAGATGAAATGAGGAAGTGTTAATAACTCAAATCAGATAACCTTTCCGATCTTTGATGTAAATGCAAAAATATATTGTTAGGTATAATTTTAAGGGATTTATAATCTGCAAGTGCCTGCTTCTTTATGGTAGAAAATACTTTACAGACCTTCCTTTCCTTTTTTCCCCCCTGTCCCTCCTGCTTTCTCTGAGCCTGACCACCAGCTGTCCTCAACTGCAGAGCGAGGCACTCTCTGCCGAGGAGCAGAAGGAGGAGGAGGAGGGCTCGGAACCCCGGGCAGCCACGGCGCAGGGCACGCCGCCCCCGCAGCTCTCCGACACCGAGGACTACGCGGGCCTGGAGACCACGAGCCTGCTGCAGCACGGGGACACTGTCCTGCACATCAGCGAGGACACGGGCACGGAGAACCCTCTGCTGGCCACGCGCTTCAGCTTCGCGCACGTGGAGCTCGGCGAGACCGACGTGGACCTGGATGAATCCCATGTTTAACTCCCGGGGAAGTGCAGGAGCGGGAGGAGGAAGGAAGGGTTTACCTTTCCTTAGAGGTCCCTGCTAAATAGTAACTAATTAAAACAAGAGCACTTTATTATCCTAGAGCAGGAAATAGCTATCAGCCGGTTGCTATAGGCCGGCGAATTTCTATTTGTGAGATCTCTTTTCAGTTCAGGGCAGGACCACAGGAACCAAGAACTGGTACAGAATTCTCAGGAGAAGGGTGTGTAGGCAAACGTGCTCCAGAGAGCCCTGATCTGGCAGCCATGCACTGTGCTCAGCAGCCTCTCTGGCTATGGGCTGTTGGACTGTGGGAGACAGAGAAGTCTCTTCTGAGACTGTGCCTGAGATTTATTTTTGTAGTGTTTTTGAGAGGAGGGCTACACAGTAGCTGAATGCAAGGCTCCTGCACCCTGAAAACAGTGACAGAAAGTACCAATCCAAAGCTTGATTTTCTCAAGCCTGGGACCATTGTTTCTAACATGCAGAGCAACAATATGCACCATTAGATTTTTTTTTTTGGCACTGCAGACTTTAGTTGAGTTTACTTTTGTCTGTTAGTTCCATTCCACTCTGTAAAATATTGCCCTTGTGCTACAAAAATATTTGCTCTGTAAAACTAAATACAGTATATAGCCTAAGCAGGAATGCATGTGCTGTCCACAGACACAGATGGGCAGGGGCTGAGTGGTCTGCAAGTGGTATAAATAACCCACACTGTCCTGCTTTAGTGTACTGAGCTATTCATCTCCAGAGTTTAAAAAAATACTCCAAGAAACTGCATCTGGAATGCTTGGACCTTCTGGCCCCAAGCAACTGCTCCCCTGATGCTGTTGGATGTACGTAGAGGGATTTAAAGTAAATATTTATATATGGTATTTTCATGTTACTATATATATATATAGATATATATGTACATTTTAAACAAAAGATGGATATTGCAGGGCAGAAACTTGATGAAAGAATCTATTTTTGGCATGCTGAGATTGTATTTTAAAAGGTTCCATTTTATGTATGTAGCGTTCATGGCTGCAAGTACTGAATGTATGTAACCTTTATGGAAGGTGGAGATCCCTGGGGGGGGATCAGCTGAAGTCACAGCTGAGTTAAAGGGTTTTTCTGCAGCATCATGGAATTACACTGAAATGTGAATTTAGCCATTAGCTGCTGACAGGCAAACTGCAAAATAGCTGTGAAACAAACCATGAAATCATCAGCAATGCCCAAAGAGACCCTTGGGAATCATACACTGCCTTTTCTGGCTCATGTTAGACTAAGTGGAGTTTATAATCATGTCATTGTTGTGCAGAGGAAAGCGTTTTGGATCATCCTGAGAGTATCTAAACTGTGCTCATTACCACTTTGGCTCCTGAGGGCCTGCAGTTTGGGCACACAATCACAAACCAGCCTTACCCAGGAGGGAAATGGTGTCCTTCTAGCCATCTCCAAAGAAAGGACCTGCAGCTCTCCTCACGGGCTCTCAATGGCTGTGGAAGCACTGCTCTGCCAAGCCAGCTCCTTGCTGCTGTAGTGCAGCCCAGAGGTTTTTTTTCCTGGGGCTGGGACCATTAACCACACACCTGGCAGCAGGTTTCAGCCTGGGAAGCCCATGGACCTCAGGCTGCGCTGCCTGGCATTTGCCAGATGCTCACATTGGACAGGAGCTCTGCACACCAGTCTGGGCAGGGAAATCACTCACATTAAACCTCTGAAGAGAGCAAAAGCCATTTTTGTCCCAGGTGCTGAGCATGCTCTGCTACCACCCCGTTGGTGAGAGAATCTCAGCATGTCTTGGGAACAGCAGGGCTGAAAAACCAACTATTTTCATAGTGCACCACCTCAATCCCCCACGTACATGGGGCTATATAATGTACAGGTGGTGTTCTAATGCAGCTCCAAGGGGTTCTTGGTCTTGAAGGAGAGGTGACAATGTCCCAGCAGATGTCCTGGATAACAAACTGTTTCCTCTGCTGATCAAAACATGCTGTACTGCTTTTATCTCCTTAGTGCACTGGAGCCTGTGCCAGCTACCTGTAGGATGCTGCTTTAGATTAGCTCCCAGCTCAGAGGTCACTCCAAGAATTGCTGAACTCCAGATGCTGAGTTTTATTATTAACACTGACGCACAAATGAGAAAAAACCCCACTGCTTCACTTTCAAGTCCCAAGGTAGGCTTGGTCACTGGCAGTCTGGGGGGAGGAAAGCTTCAGACATGAGCTGAGTAAATGGCTGGGACACAACACACACAGCATTCAGGGTGCACTTTAGAGTGACCTTTTCTGCAGAAAAGGAGGAAGCATCTTCCTTAGTGAAAAGTAGAGGCCTTTCCACAGCACTCTGCTCTAGAGATGACAAAATAACTGTGATTTACTTCATTTCATTCCATGTATATAACTTTCAAGTTTCCACTGTCACAGGTGAATCCACAGTAGTAAGCCATAGCAAGGACTAAAACGCCTCTTTTTAATGTCTACCCTCCTAGAAATCAATGCAACTTATAAAGTATGTAATCTGCAATTTAGTGTTGTCCAGGTGGCTGTGCAGCTGGCTTTGCTTTTGTGGGACGATCGTTCAGAGGTGGCACAGACAGGCCAGCCCCTCAGCCTGCCCTCCCACATGTTTTACTGCCGCACCAGTTGCATTTAATGCCGTCATTTAATGATGAGTGCCATACCAAGTACTTTAGCTGGTTTGTGCTGTCCTCCCGCGTGGCCGTACCATTTATTTATTATTATTATTATTTCTGCTGTGAAGGCACCCGATGCTGCTTTATGTACATAGTGTTGGCCGCGTGTCGTGCTCGGCAATGTCCGGCTCTGCCTGTCCTGTCCACGTGTCAGTCGGTCCCGTTGCCTCAGCATTTTACGCAAACGTTGTCCCGAGGATTAAATACAAAGGAACGACGGCAAAGGACAGAGTTCTGTGTGTGAGCCTCTTGCGTAACGCGGTGTGTGCCCGGCGCTCTGAAGGGTTTCCATGCGCCCTTTTCTTCCGGGATGCCCACAGCCCTTGTTAATGTTTACCCATCTGCTCGCAGGCCCGGCGCGGGGCTGGAACTGTGCTTGGGGGGCGACAAAATACACCTGGCTGGGAACTTAAAGTCACCTACACAAGGGTCATTACTACTATTATTGTTATTATTATTGTTGTTTCCGCGATTTTGGCACGGAGGGTGCGGCCGGCGCCGCCTCAGCGCGGGCGGAGCGGCGGCCCAAGATGGCGGGGCACCGCCCCGGCCCTCCCCGCGCGGCCGGCCCGCCCTCCGTCCCGGCAGCAGCCGCGGCCGCAGCCATGGCGTCGGGGTGTCGGATCGGTCCCTCCATCCTCAACAGCGACCTGGCGGCGCTGGGCGCCGAGTGCAGCCGCATGCTGGACTGCGGGGCCGACTACCTGCACCTGGATGTAATGGACGGGTAACGCCGGGGACGGGCGGGAGCGGCCGGGCCGGGGGCGCGGGGTGCGGGCGGAGCGGCCCGCTCCTCCCGGCCGCACGGGGTAACCTGCGGGCGGGCGCGTCTCTCTCTTCGGCCCCAAGACACTTCGTCCCGAACATCACCTTCGGCCACCCCGTCGTGGAGAGCCTGCGCAAGCGGCTGGGCCAGGAGCCGTTCTTCGGTAAGGGCCGGGTGCTGCGGGGCGCTGCCCCCCCGGCGGCGGGAGCCGGCCCCGCTGCCCGCTCGCTGTCCCCTTGCAGACATGCACATGATGGTGGCCGCGCCAGAGCAGTGGGTGAAGCCCATGGCCGTGGCTGGTGCGAACCAGTACACCTTCCATCTAGAGGCGACGGACAACCCCGGGGCGCTGATAAAGGACATTCGGGAGAACGGGATGAAGGTGAGGGGAGTACACACTGCGCTCTGCTGAACTAACAGCTGCCTTGCTGGCCGGTTCTCCGCGGTCACCAGGGATAGGACCCGAGGGAACGAGCTGCAGCTGTGTCAGGCGAGGTTTGGGCTGGATATCAGGAAAAGACTCCTCCCAGAGGGTGGTCAGGCACTGGACAGGCTCCCCAGGGAATGGTCACAGCCCCCAGGCTGCCAGAGCTCCAGGAGTGTTTGCATACTGCTCTGGGTCACAGGGTGAGGTTGGTGGGGTGTCTGTGCAGGGCCAGGAGTTGACCTCGAGCCTTGTAGGTTCCTTCCACCTCGAGGTATTTTCATTCCATAATATTATGGAAAACTCATTGTGGCCACTTCCGGGGCCTAGGATTGGCACATGCATCTCTAACACACTGTGCATGAAGTCAGTCTTCATTTTAGTGAAAAAAATCTGGAATTTTTAAATAAAGAAGCCTGTTCTTCCTGCCATTACACAGTTGTGTAATTACTTCCTAGGAATCTGTACTGAGGTCAGGCCAGTCTTGCCCTGACATGCACTTGCATTTGGCTTCCCTTCCTGCAGGTTGGCTTGGCCATCAAGCCTGGTACTACAGTTGAACACTTGGCACCTTGGGCCAATCAGATAGACATGGCTTTGGTGATGACGGTAGAACCTGGGTTCGGAGGACAGAAATTTATGGAAGACATGATGCCAAAGGTAAACTATGTTTCTCTTTCATTATTTATTGAGCTAAAAGCAAATTAACAGTAGTGAGTAGTAAACCTTGTCTAGATGTGTGAGAAGCTGTAGGGTGGCAGTGCTCAGCCTTTTATGTTTGCTCAGGTTCAGTGGCTCAGGACACAGTTTCCCTCCCTGGATATAGAAGTGGATGGAGGAGTGGGGCCTGACACCATCCATAAGTGTGCAGAGGTAAGAGGTTGCAGCAGAGCAGCATTCTCAGACACTGTCACTCCCAGAAAAGAAAGCTTAAGAGAAATTTTTAGTTTTCAAAGGGAGCCGTAAAACACATTTAATATCAAAATCTTTTTTAGGTCTAATTTTATACCTTTTTAAAAATAGTGGCTATTGAAGCCTCCCCTAAGCTAAAGAAGTTTGTTTCTTTTATGTTGACGTAAATAGGAGCAATGTGATGAAGAAATCTGGGGAAGAGCTGTGTTGTCTGAACTCGATTTGGGGTTGCAGTTAGGAGTACACCACCTGTGTCGCAGCAGTTTGCAGGCAGGCTGTGTTCCATGTGACTGAGCAGTGTCTGCTGTCCCCAGGCAGGTGCCAATATGATTGTGTCTGGCAGTGCTATCATGAAGAGCGCAGACCCCAGGTCTGTGATCAACCTGCTCAGGAACGTGTGCTCAGAAGCAGCCCAGAAGCGCAGCCTGGATCGATGAGACCTGCCCAAGCCCTGTTCCAGAGGCTCTGGCCAACACCAACTACAGAAACTTCTTGCTGCTGAACAGAGGAAGCATTCCTTCACTGCAATGAAGCAAGCAGCAGTGGGAAACATCCTGGCTGTCTTTCAGGGTTGGAAATCAAATGGTTTGAACCTGTCTCTTTGATTTTGTGGAGGCTAATTTTGTGGCACAACCTCTTATGCTGGCTGGATTGAATTACAGTCAGTTTGTTGCTTGCTAGAAGAGTGTAGCATCACCACAAGAATCTCTCTTGTGGAAGACTCTTAATCAAACTGCCTTCTGCTGTCTGTATTTTGTCATTTGATCTGTGCATTCCTACAAAACTTTTTCCACTACTGCATTAAACACCCCTTCCTTGGTGTGTTAAGTTCTTGAAGCTGACTGTCATAAATAAGTGGGTTCAGGAGTAAGTTTAGGGAAAAGGCAGCTTAAGAGGGCTAAAAAAATCCCACTGATGGTAGAAATGTTCCTGTCCTTTGCCTCTGTTGCACTGGAAGTACTTTTCCTACAGAAATCCAGCATCAGATAAGTCAGTGCAGCATCTTTAGCAGATCACAGAAGTGGGGAATATCTCCTCACTTACCTTTCAAATAGCCAGTTAAGACAGCTGTGTCTGAAATTCCTGGAACTGATGGAATTCCTTAGAAGAATGTGCAGCAAGAAAAAAGTTTTTACTCGTCTGAGGAGTATTAAAGCAACAATCTCTGTGGTTTGTACACGTGTCTGAATAAATGATTCAGATGGTAACATACAGAAAGGGTAGCTGCTGAAGAGACATACAGATTGAAATGCCTGGAGATGGATCTGTAAAACAGTTTGTGGCACCAAACAGTCATCAGTCCTTCCTTTGCTGTGTGCACAGGCCTGGCCTGTTTGGGCACATGAAAGATGAGCTACAGTGCACTGGAGGAAGACTGAGCAGGCCATTTTTAGGCAGGCCTGTCTCCCATGGCTCTAATTAGCACTGCTGGCTCTTAAATATTTCATGGTATTCTGTGTGGCATTTTTCCCTTTAAGTTGCAATGACAGAAGGGTTGCAGACAGTCTGCTGCCTTGGGGGGCCAGGCCAGGAGGCTCAGCAGCTGCAGCCCCTGGGAGCCCAGGCCCTGTGAGGTGCCCACAGCAAGGGGCACTGCCTTGGTGAGCAGCACGAGCTAGGGCTGGTTCAGACACTACACAAGAGTGTCTCAAATTGCTGAACTGCCACTTTTTTTTTTTTTATGTGTGGTTAATTGTGGTTTAGGTGAACAAAAGTTGCTTCCTGTTTCCACTTGCAACCCCATTTGGGAACAAGCACAAGAAAAATGGAGTTGTGTGGACCTACTGTACTGAGAGATATTTCAGAAGAGGTTTGCCAAAGGCAAGCTTGGCCATGGAGGCTGTAGTCCCAAGGGCTGTTGGGTGTGTGTTAGAGTAGCTTATCCATGCTTCTGGAAAGAACCAGTGTAGAGTTTAGTGTATGCATGGACAAACAGTCATGGCTCTGGTAGCTAAAATGCAGGCTGAAATGAAAATGCTAGTTCAGGATGTGCAGTCTGGCTTTTCATGCTGTTGAAAGCAGTAGGACAACAGCTGTAGTATACTAAGTGTAAGCCGGATTGAAAGGATAATCAAACTATTTTTGCTTTTTTCCTAATTAATTTCGGGGTGACATCCAATTTGTGCTTGTTAATTGATGGTACTAGGCTTTGTGGAAGGTATGTTCTCTCTTCATAGGTTGTAGCCATTTTGTAATTGTTTTAAGGATGGTAAGTTTGCACTTGCACTGACTCTTGGGGTTAGGAGTCCTGTGGGAGAGATCTTACACTCACAAAGTAAAATTACTTAATTGCTTCTGTCTGAATCCCACTCAAGTGGGTTTATGCAGGTGACTCCTGCTGCAACAGCTTTTGCACCTCTAAGGTTAAATCTGTTAGTGACCATGTCCAAGAAATCACAGTGATGAATGATTCTTGTTCTTTAATGCTTAAGACTGTTCCAGTTTCTCACCTGTGTCCATTTACTGAAGTGATCTCTCTGGGGCCTGTTTAGGCCTGTCCTCCTGTACTCAGTAACAAGCCTTGAGTCCCAGGACTGGAACTGGGTGTGATATGAAAACCCAGAGAGCTGCTTGCATGCTCTCCCCAGGGCTGAAATAAACCCCAGGCCCAGGAGATGCTGCAATCCTCTGATACGGATTCAGCAATAAGGGAGAGCACAGCTTGGTGTATTGAGGCATGTGGCCTAGAGTGGTCCAGAGTGATCTGACAGCACAGGTCTCTCTGAAACTGGAAAACAGGATGAAAACAACTTGGACAGAGCCAAGTCACGCTGGGTTTGCACATATGCTGCACAGGGTGGTACAGCCCACAGCCCTGAGGGAGATAAAACACTGCAGGAGACACACACAGAGCTTAGTTTTAATAGGGTTTAAAAATTCTTATTTGTACTTACATGCCATTAAGATCCTGGATGCAGAGATGAAGCGTTTCAAACCCTCATAGCAGCAGGAAGCAGAACGTAAGTGGTGTTAAAAAAAAAAGCCTCAATTGAACATGGTAAATAAAGCACATGGAAAATGGCTTTGTGCAGCTGCAGACACCTACTTTCATGTGTGGGGGGGCCTTGCTGCATTAGGTTTTAAGTTGGTTTTCACAGTCACTCTCTTAATACCTTCAGCCACAGCAGTAGGAGCAGCACTAACAGCTGTTTTCACAGCTTAACAGCCAAAGAGAGGCTGGGTTTTGTCTGGGGGTTTATTTTCTGTTTAAAACTTTGAAAAGGAATGGAAACAAGCAGGGGATTCTGCACATTTTATGGCTTCAAGGATGAGCCTGGCCCTGAGCCTGCTCCCACAACAGGTATAGCTTCCTCATGACACCAGCATTCATGGAAAAGTGACTTGCCTGGAGCTGGAAGCCCAGCTGTGCCAGGCCCTGGGCTGCAGGCAGTAGAGCAGCCTGCCAGTGCTGATTGCAGCTGCTTGTAGGGGGACAAAGGAGAGGACAGGCTGCTCCTGGAAGCAGGCTGAGGTCAGCAAGTTGTTTAACCCTGTGCCAGTACTGAAAGGGCTGCTGAAAACCAGGAGTCTCTGTCTGGGGCCAAGACACAGAGTGGAGACAGGAAAGGCAGGGCACAGGTCTGCAGCTTCTTGAGAACCACCTTGCTTGCCTGGCCCTGCCAGCTGGAGGGATGCAGGAGGTGGGCAGGTGATGGGTGAAATGCAGCCTGTTCCTGCCACATATCCTGCCCAAGTGCTGGCAGAGCCCTGTGCAGCACCCATGGAACAACCCTGTGCTGGCACTGTGGGAGGAGGAGCAGAACCACACTGTCCTCCAGCAGCCACAGTGTGCTGTCACAGGCCTGGCCAGCTGCTGGAGAAGAGATTTCTGCAGTGAGTGTACTGGGGGAATGACCAAATAGACATTTTGCTTCTGTCTTGGGCCTGCTCAGCCTTTCTCTAAATACCCTTTTTATTGCTGTCTTATGAAGCAATAGCAAGTTCCCACAAGGGGTGGCAAGAACATAGAGGGGACACAGCTGCTGGGGTTCTCCTTGCTCAGAGCACTACCTGCCCCTGCAGTGGGCCAGGAGCCCAGCAGCTGCTTCAGCCCACACCAGGCTGACCCTGCAGCCACACGATGGTTTGGCACTGCAGCTGGAACCTGAACTGCAGTGCAGGGATGCTCTGCAGGTCCCCAGGCTCACCAGACTGGGATAACCCAGCTCCTCTGATATAGGGGGGTGCTTGGCCTGCTGTTTAACACCCTTCTGTTTCCACCCTCCAGTAAAGAAAAGCCCTTCTGTAACAGATTGGATTGTATTTCCACTTCCTGGCAGCACTTTGAGGACATGGAAGGCAGCTGGCCTGGCTGCTGGTTACTTTGTCTGTCCCCTCTCCTAAAGTGCAGCAGTTCCTCCCTCTGCCCCAGGGATCAAACACAGGAAACCCATACCTTACAACAAAGCTGGGTGAGAGCTGGTCAGATCAGGTTCCTAAGGAGTAGTCAGGGGTATGGAAAAGACCTGCAAAATCTGAGACACTGACCTTTGAGAACATTTTTCCTGGAAGCAGCTGCACATGCAGGACAAGAGAGAGGGCAGACACACCTCTGTACTGAGGCACTGAGGGACTCTTGGCCTCACAGCAAGCTGCAGTGGGTCTGCAGGCCAAGCAGGGCTCCGTGCCAAGAGGAAGTATTGCTGCTACTTCTGCACTTCTAAAAAGCCATCAAATTCAGACTATGTACAACATATATAGAAATAACTTTTAATTAAAAAAACAACCTTGCATCAAAGATTATTGTATCAGACATTGAGGCAAGATTCAAGTTTAAGACAAACCAGTGTTAAAAAAGTGTTTAAAAAAATAATCAGAATGTGCAATAAACTACAATGTAGCAATAGGATGTAGTGTTGAAACTTTACTGAACTGTTTTCATATGCCCAGTGTGTATTTCCTGTCATTTTGACCAAAAAAAAAAAATTGACACTAAAACTGGGTCGTCTGTCCAGTGCCATTCCAGATATTACACATGGAAGAAAACTGCACAAAAAACAGAGACTCCTATTAAATTGCCTTCAACTGTCCTACACAGAAAAACTGCCTGTTGGTGGATTATACCTACATTCAATGTTTAATCTTTGTTAATACCTCTTGGGATTGCAGATACATTCCAAGCTATGCTATTCAGATGCAAGTTTTAAACAACTTGCCTTTGTTTTCTCACTGTGCATGCATTGGGAAATGAAAAATCTATCCAGAATCACAATGGAAAGCTTTGGGGCTTTTTTTATTGCTCTTCAAGACATCAATCATCTTTTCCTTTCCAGCTAGTCAGCAAATGTTGGCACACTTATGAGACTCTTACAAGGCACTGTACAGAAATTGGAACAAGACTTTAACATATTAAAGCAAAGTATTATGAGCCTCATTAGCTACTGAAGGACTAAGGAAATAAGATGATCCAAGCCACAGCATTCTATGGGCTGTGTCACTGATTTGGCTCAACCCCTCTCTCCTGTCTCTCCCTCTCCACAGGTCTGAAGCAGAGACCCTGCTTCCCCTGTGTCAGGCTGTGCCAATGCAGTGGCTGCTTTACCTTATTGCTTGAGGATTTCACCATGAAACATGCCCTGGCACTACTGAGAGCCATGACTTAAGCTAGATGCAAGGCTTCCAGATCCCCTGCTTTGAACTGCTGGTTCTCGCCTACCCTCACCTTACACGTGCAGTTAGAGACAGGTTTCTGACCTATGGTCCTGCCACACAGGAGAATAATCTGAGGCTCAAGCTTATCCCCTCTATTTTCAAGTAGTTTTTCTGTGTTCAGTTGAAGTTGTTGGATAAGGTAGACAGCATCTCCTGCTGCACCAGAGAGTCCATTAGAACCAGATATGCATTTGAAAACAAACAAACAGAAAAGGATGATTATTGACAAATGTGGCAATATGACAACAGAAAGTGAATGGTGCCAGCAATTTATGTGCGCCCACTCCCGACATTGGGAATATTAGACTTCCAGCTTGAAATAATTACTTTCTCTTGGGGTTCAGGAAGAAGAAAGTGTTGTCTTTGGGATTTATCCTGCCTGTTACAAAGCAAGAAAGAAAATATATTATACGCAGCTAACATAAAGATTTTGAATTGTGCTGTCATATGCTGTGTGAACGAGAGATTTTACCTTACACTCCTCTCCACCTTAATTGGCTTTCTTAATGAACCACATTATTCCCTGTCACCTTTGTTTCCTTGTACTGTTGCTTCCCAGGCAAATGCTTTTGCAGTCTTCTGACTCTTGGGTAGATTGTTTTCTTGGTGCACAGCCATTGTCTGGCAAAGCAGTGGGTGTGCCTGGAGTGCAGGAAGAGTTGCTGGGGAAAGTTGCACTTGACATTTCAGTCTGATTCGTTACTTGATCTTGGCACAGTAAAGCTTCTACCTCTTCATCGTTTAGTGGAAAAACTCGAAGTTCCCACAGCCCAGACTGAAAGGAAGCAGAAGAGTAGGAGTGAGGGTGAAAAAAGAGTATAGAGGATAAAAAGGGATTTCAGTAGAGTCTGAACTGATTAACTGTGTGCAGAATCATGTGCTATCAAGTAACAAACGAGTGTCTTTCTTTACAGTGTTTGCAGGGTTCTTCAGATAAAGAATACAACACTGCCAGGCACCAAGATGTAAGCTGGCTGCATAAGGGTTTGAAGTAATAATAGACCTACCCTTAACAGGCAAGGAAACTCTTTTCCACAGTGCCAGACCATCAGGATGCCTGACCCCTAATGACCAGGCCTGTCTTGAACCTTGGCCAACACCCCTGAAAAAAACCCCAGCCTGAACCCAGTCCTTCCATATTTGCCTCAATAACATGTGCCATGTGTATTGAGCAACGAAACTTGTTGAAAGATCTGGGGTTAATTTCCAAAGCACAGCAGTGTAGTTCTAAACAGTAATGCTATGTTCAGTGCACACCAGCTAGTCTGACAGCCTGAGATTCTGATCAGTGAGACAGGAGAATATCTTCAGGTTTCTTTGTTGTCACTGCAGAACTCACCAGAGCTGGAAGCTATTGGAAGCTCACCCACCTTCTCTTCCTGGCTCTCCCTGCAGAGTGGTGCCATCCCTGAACAAACAGAGCTGTGGGCTTCCAAAGCTGGGTCAGGAGCAGGGTCAGCAGAGCAATGGTCTTTCTGTACCACGTCCTGGCTGTGTCGTCCATCAGCATTTTTGCTGTAAGATCTAGTGCAGAATTAGAAATGAGTTTTAAGAGCTACTCCCTGACCTTTCACATTGCCATGAGCAGTTCATATTTTCTTTTCAAAGTGTTCAGTTTTTCCATACATGGTACCTCCATTCTGCTTGCTTAAACCAAAAGAGCAGAGGAAAACTGGTGTGGTTCTGGATCTTGCTGGCTGGAGCCAAAGCAAAGCACTGTGTGGAGGAACTAAATGGATAGAATGGGTGGACAGGCACACCCTGGCTGCAGACACCTAGTTAATGTATCTTGCTCCACATGCTCACCAGAACTGTGATTTTGGAAAACAGAAATCAGTGAGCCACAGGTTGTTCCCCTCAGGAGAGGGGCCTCACCCACAGGAGCCGTGGGGTCCAAGCTGCATTGTGCCAAGTGCAACTTGAGAGACAAGTCCTTGGGCTCCCCCTTGGACAACAGAAATCAGTGAGCCACAGGTTGTTCCCCTCAGGAGAGGGGCTCACCCACAGGAGCCTGTGGGGTCCAAGCTGCACTGTCAGCACTGTGCCAAGTGCAACTCAAGAGACAAGTCCTTGGGCTCCCCCATACCACTTCTGCTCTGGACTCAAGTGCAAAGCAATTAAAAATGTAGTAAGATTAAAAATGTTGACCTTACTTTTAACAGAAATTTAAACTAGATAAAAAATAGTGGCGTGCATCTGAAATGCCAGGTGGAATCCTGACCTTGCTCATGTCAATGAGCAAGTTTACTTCTGAATTCAAACAGCATTAAGATTTTACCAAGGAGTTCAGTTTCAAAATTAAGGTACATACAGAACTTTTTATTTTTCAGTACACTTTCTAAAGTTGGGAGGTTTTATGTTCAAAATTGCTTAAAATAAAGTTCCTCAATATGGCTTAGCTCTATTTTTATCCCTCATTTAAAAAAGTTATCTTTGACTATTTATTGCTAGTGTCATGGTTCACTTTCAGACAAGAGTAGACACAAGTATATGGTAAATACCATAAAAAGTTATTCCAACATTTATAGGCTGCTTTTTGCCCTGGCAGATTGTGAACTCATTTATGAGAATTATTTTCTCAGGGCCAAACTGCAGATGCAGCTTTACAACGTTTGCTCTGATATACACTACTTTTTGCAAGACTTTTAGTGGTTATATTTAAATCTGATGAGTTCTGCACCAGATGGCAAGCCTGTGAGAATGAACCATTCACACAATGACTTTCTAAGTGTAGCCCCTGGCACAGCCAGGACCCTTCAGTAACACATCTCTGAACACCATGGAGTTTCATCTGAGTCAGGTGAGTGAAGAAGGACTTGTGATACACTGGGTGGCTAAAGTCATAGTAACTGGGAGTGGCACAGTCTAGCAGAGCTCTGTGTTCAGAGAGGGAGGAAGATATTTGTTTAGTAATGCCAGGTCACTAACATGCCCCATTTCTGTAAGAATGCATGCCTCAGCACCGCTTTCCCCTACCACCCACAAAGTTCAACGTACCTGGTCCTGTCCCTGATGAATTAATTAATGAATGCCCTCATTTTCCAACTCCTGTGACAGCATTTCTGCCACTCTGAACCACAACCCACGCCAGGTTCAATAGGAAGGCTCTCATCAAAGCCAATACACCTGCCTGCTGTTCCTCCTGGGCCAGCGGCTCTGCTCCCACAGCGACCACCTCGCGCGCTCTCGCTCCTCGTACTTGCTGTGGCGCCAGGAAAAGGCTTTGTCTGACAGGTCTTCTACCTGGAAGGAGACAAGGAGAGCTGTCAGTGTCAGCATTCCTGAAAACACCACCAGCCACTATTATACGTAATTCTGCAAAGGTCTATTCAACAAACAAGGAGAGGAAACACAATGCATGCTTTCACTTCAAAGGCACATTTACACCGTTCACTTTATGAGAGCTCTGGTGTATGGGATGCTGTCATTTTAGCTTTTTTTCTTTACAGCTCTGTGGTTGATCCCCTCCATGTTATACCCGCTCCATGCAACTAACACATTTTTCTCTGTGGTGAGAGGCAGAAAATTTAGAGGATGAGTATTCATTTGCAAATGAAGGCAATACTAAAAGTACATAATGAAGACAAGCAAAAATTCCAACAGTTACCAGAGACTGCTTTAGAAGGAGGCTGGGAGGCAGCAGGATTTGGCAAGTGCTCTTTAAGCACTAAGAAATAGGTTTGAGATCACCAAGGACTTTGATAACTCCATGGAGGGGAACTCGGTGAACCTGAGGTGCCACATTCCTGCTGTGAAACCAAGCAGAAAATGGCTTCTGCTTTGAAGATACTATTTCTTACCCAATGGTTTGCATGATCCCAAGTGAGTTTAAACCAGCCCTAATGCAAGTACTTTACCTGCTCTAGTAAAACAAGAGCCAGATTTTTAGGTAAAAGATTGCACACCAACTTTCACTGTGAAAGTGCCATCCGTGTTTCTCTGATGGCAACACACCAGGAAGTTTGTTCCTTAGCCAGGGCTGGCTGAGGAGCAACTTTGCTGCTCCTCCCCCTCACTCCCCTGATGGCAGGGGGAGTTCTTGGCTGGATCCCTCCAGTACAGCTCACTGTTGTTTCAAAGTGCTCCAAACCATTCAAAGTTCACCTAAAAAGCTGAGGTTGGCAGGAACATTTGAATGCTGCAGCCATGGATTTTATGCCAGCTAGTCCCAACTCAAAAGCTGAGAAATTCTTGGAAAGAACAATTCCTGGTCATAGGAGCTTTGAAGCTGCACTGCCAGATCAGTCCTAGACAAGAATTATACTAATAATTAGGAGGGGTAATGGAAAATAAACTGCCTTTTTTTTTTTCTAAAGTAAAATCCTCAGTGGTGTTGTACAAGTAACAGCATTTATCTTCCAACTGAGCCTATAAAATAGAGAACCAAATGCACAGTGCTCCCTGCAGTGCCAAAGAGACCCTGGCAGTGCTCCACTTGGTGTTTCTGTAGAAGCCATCCCCAAATTAAGTGTCTCAGCACTGAGGTGGTTCACAGCCATTAGAGGTACAATGACAAAGTATCACAACCAATCAGTGTGATCCCAAAGGCTTCATTTGATTGGAATCAGACACAGGACCCATTTGCAGAACTGTGGCTGCCCAGGTCCTCCTGAGCTCAGCACTGGACAGGAACCTTCAGACAAACAGGCTGCTTAGTTTGCTCATCTCATCACTCCTTGCTGAAGGCTCCTTCATTGCTTTTATTTATTTATGTTAAACACAAACCACTTTGTTAGCTGCTGGTTTCCTTTCACGCAAGTGAATTTAATGGGTTTCCTCCTCTCTCTGAAATTCACCAGCTCTGTCACTTGGAGAGCATCCAAACAGGGCTACATCTCAGTTCACATTCTGTCTTTCCAAGGTCAATGATGTATAGCATGAAAGTGAGAATTTTATGAACTACAAAAGTGTTATTCCCTTGGGGGAAATTCAGGGTTTTTCTGTGCTCAGATTTCCTTTGAAGTGGAAACAAAAGATAATTTAGAAAGAAAAACTTAGGAATTTGAAAATACTTTTCTTAGCACATTGCCAAAACTTTTCATGCTGGGAAGAGATTTCATTTTTAACAAGTTTCCATTCAAAATCAAAGTCTGTGTTCCTCTCCAAGTGAAGAGTTTTGGAAAATACAGAAATAAGCCTTGTTTGTTTTCCATAGCTGGTGATAGCATATTTAACCACTTGTTTATTTAAAAAGAGTTCTACCCTATTCTTTTGAACAGTACATTTTCTTATTTAAAAATTATTATCTGTTCTATGGATAAAAATTTCATGACATCAGAATAAAAGGTCTTTACTCGGTTCATTACAGCCTCTGCCACTCCCCAACATTTCCTCCCACAACTTTAGATTAATTTAAAGTTCTGTAACAGGAGAGATTTGGTGGTTTTTCCTCAGCAAGGTTAGTTTGAAAAAGGACAAAAGAAGTGTCATTCCTCAGTGGATGGATCTGGCAGGGATGTTGAGAGAAAAGGCTGTGGGGAAGGCCTGTTTGTGAGCCATGTCTAATGATTTCACTCACAGAAAACTAAGCTTTGGATTCCCCCATGACACTGCAACATACTGTGCATGAATGTTGAATAGCACCAGGAATATTTCTGAAAGGTTCTCAAAACAACAAAATCTGTGTTTCACTCTTTGGCTCCACAAGAAACTCTGAGTCATAGGCCATGAAAACACTTATGCAAAACTAATTGCACAAGGAATTACCCCAAAGAATTTGTCATTACTAAAACAACTACAAAATAAACTTGAACGTTACAACTAAGCCTTTCCAGAAGCTTTAACCTGGACAAAACAAATTAAAACCAAAACAAAACAGGAAAACCTGAGCCACACCCTCCCATGCCTTAAAGCAATAACACTGCAAATTCATACATGCAAACCAGGAAACTCAAATGTTCTGTTTCCAGAAAGTATTTTTAGAACAAGTAATAGAGCAGACATAGATAGTAGATTAACTTTTGCATTGCCAGTTTTGTTCTTATAAGGCAAAATTTCCAGAAACAAAAAAGCACCCATAAAAGGTAAGCTTTTTGTTCTCAAAGGCTCAATGAAGAGGCCTGACTCCCAGAAAGTGCTGAGTTCCCATCCTTGGAAGTGTGGCTCACGTGGAGCATGACAAACTGGGGACCTCACATTTATTTGTAACTTAGTAAATGCTGGATGCAGGTCTATTACTTGGATATGGGTTGTTGCACTGAAAGCCTCTAAATGAAGAAGACAGAGAAGACAAATATTAAGACAACAAAGACAATGAAGATTAAGAAGAAAAAAGTTATCCAGTGGCAGAAATCCCTGACTACTGCTTGACACAAGGACAACTCTGAAGTTTCAAATTTAGCTATGGAGAAGATAGAGAAGTAAATAAACTATTATGTAGTACCACAAAAAACTTTAAATCATTTCCAGCACCACCACAGGCTACTATGCAGTGAAATAGAGAAAAAGGGCATTTTATATAAAAGCAGAAAGTATATTTTGCCTTCCCTTGTGTTATGTGAATGACCTACTAAAGCTTGCCTTGACTTTAGCATATGGAGGAATTTCAAGAGTGTCAGAGCATGAGTGCAGGTAATGGTGCTGTTTCCTCATGTCTTTCCACAAGCAAATTTAACTCAGCTCAAAGCTAGAGGCAGTTGAAGAATTATGATCTATCACCTTTTCTCAGTGCTCTGAAAAACATCCAAACTAATTAACAAGATCCCAAACGAAAGGGGGGAACTCAAAGGATGATTTACACAAACAAGATCATTAGCATTTTTCTCTGTCTGGCATCTCTCCCCCTCATTCCACCCAGTGGCTGACAGATGATACAGAAGCAGTGGGCCACAGCAGGAGGCAAAGCTGCTGCATTGTTAACTCAAGTTATTTCCTGGCCAGAGGATGAATCATACAGGATTGAGAGTCATGCCAAACACAAATGTACTGGGTGGGCTACTAATTCAGACATTAGCCATGAACTTCAGAGAGAAACCTTGAAGTCCCTGCAGCAAAATACACTAAAAACACAAGACAAGTCTTCTTTATGGGATCTGAAATCTGAACAAGAAATCCACTGATTCCATGCAAGCTCCTTGAAGCCCTGAATGCAAATCACTGTTGCAATTCTTCACTCCTCCCAGACAGCAGGATGAAGACAGCAATGAACAGTAGATGCTCAAGGGACACAGTGCCCTTGCTGCCTTTATTAGTTATTCTCCAAATGGTTTAATTAAATATCCTTGCAGGAGTGTTCTCCTGTGTGTGGAATTTGACCTTCTTGGTACAAAGGAAGGACAGGCATGCTTCCTGCTGGCTGGGAGGGTACTAACCCAGAAGAGTGGGTGGAAGTGACATAAATTTGACCACAGACTTCACAGGAATTTCTCAATTGCTCATTGGAAAAGGCAGGAACAGAGTAAGCTTTTCTCTTCCTTCTAGCCCAAGAGTATGCTGCCAGATAAGTGAAACTACACCAGGTAAGGAGTTGAGACTGTGATGTTCTCCTAAAGGACAGGTGATGGAGCAGGTAGCTACAGACCTATAAACCTCTACGGAATTTGTGCTTTTGTGGAGGCTGTATTTTCTACCCCAGGAGAGTGACATAATGATCTGTTTACTGTAGTAATTAATGTAATCTGCACTGCTACCTAAATGCCATCTTTTTCTACTGCTATAGCAACTTAACCTCTGCTGTAGACATTCTCTCAAATAGCAGCTCAAGAACAGATATTGTGGATAAAGGCAGAAATACAAGTCCTACAGTTACAATTTGCAACAGTGGCAGAGACTGGAGGGAGATTAAAGATGTTCAAAGGACATAAAAATTGACAGGTTTCTGGAAAAGAGGCCACAAAAAGATTGGAAGGACAGAAAATCAGCCTACAGACCAGACTTGCTGGCACATTCACCCCAAAGTTAGGAAATGCCTCAAACCCCTGATTAGGGGAGAAAGGGACCCCCAGCTTCAAAGTCCATGGACATTCCCTGAGGAAAAAGGTAGATTCTTATGTCTGGAGGAAGCAAAAACCAGCCTATGATTTGCAAACTTAGCTCAACAGGCAGGCAGGAAATGCTGAAATGACAATGCAGAAAAGTTTGGTCCCAACAGGAGGATTGCAGGAAAAAAATACTGAAAAGAAAACTGAAGAAACTTGCTGGACCCACAGGCAAGACTCCTGATTACCAAAGAGCAACATGCCATGGGAAGTGGCCATGGAAGAGAGGGTGAGAGGGAGGGACAGCACTGGTGGCCCCAGGAGACAGTCACACGAGGACAGGCAGCATTACAGGGCTCAGGAGCAGGGTGGCACAGCCTGAGCCAAGGGACCCTTCAGGAGCACTGCCTGTGCAGCAGCAAGGGGCACCAGAGCCACATAAACAATGAACAAGGAATATTAATGGTATACCTCCATTTCTATCTCCCACTGTAGGGACAATTTGATACTCAATACTTTATTTTTGAAACTTGAAACTTACTGGGATTTGTATGAAGTTGGTGTTTTCAGAAAGAATATACCAATTACCCCAATTATATATTGTATCTACTTTAAATAAACCTAATGGTTTAATTAAAATACAGCCTACCTCTTCTTCATCTGTTTGAGATTTTTCTAAAGGTTGAAGTTCAACAACTCTCCAGCTAGAAATAAGACAAGGAAAATCAAATTAAGTTTAAGGTGCTGATAACAGATGGATGAATTTAAATGTTCCTTTCCCAACAAGGTATCTAACCTTTCCTTTTCCTAACACAGTCTTTAATATCCAATACAGTTTTAATAATATTTTTCAACTTAAAAGACAAAGCAAAAAAAAAAAAAGCAAATACATATTATGGATTTAAAGTACAGAACAAGTACATTTAACACTGCAGGCAATGTGCTAGCTACTAAGACACTGAAGTAAGCAGGGAAGATCAATTACCCTGGTTTTGAAATCTAAAGATGTTCTTTTTCTAAAACAAAGGAGAAAAAGGTCTCTAGAATCATGATTGTAGGCCTACATGGTATGGAAAGAAATAAGCTTATTCTACTGTATCAGAATGGCTAAACTAAAAAAAACCAACTAAATCCATTTCTGTTAATTCACAGAAAATAGTTTACTACTTTCTTATGAACACACAAAAAAGACAGCAATCTCCAAAAAACTGTTCAAGAGCTCGTCAGCCTTAAGCTGTACCTTATTAAGGTATATTAAAGGCCATAACTACAATTAAGATGATATAAATCCACTTCTATTTTTAGCCAGTCTGTGCATCTGCCACATCCCTGTGCATATCAGACTATTCCTCCTGTGCTATCAGCTGTCCAGTCTTCCCACAACTTTGGTCACATGAACTGAAATGCACAGATAACAACTCAAGTGCATGAAAATATCATCTTTAATACTGTAACATTTTGTAACTCCATGTAAATTATATTTTTAGTTAATGTTCTCATGTTTCTTTTCACGTCGTTGCAATTCAAGAGGCTGTGAACAAACCTTGGAGTAAGGATTTCTTTGTACTGTAGTTTCTCCAGCTTTGAGGGTGCCACCAGTGACATGGGAATAACAATGTTGTCTATATCATAGGAGCTCTCACTTCTCAACCTCCTCCTGGAGTTATGCTGAATAATAAAATCAACACAAGAGAATCACCTCAAGTCATAGGAAATACATTTTAGCAGAGAAACATTAGAACTTTACAAGGAGAAAGCCTGAATTTAATGGAAACAGACTATTCTAAAGTGCTCATTCATGTGTTCTTTGATGATGATTGACTCCAGGGAATAAAGGAGTGTGTGCTGTCTAAACTGTGTGGGATGCACATTTAAACTCAACTCTGCATTAAAACATGACAACTCACAGAGCACCAGTATACCACCAGGCCTACCAAAACCATGGGACCTGAATCTGAATATTGTTGTGAATTTTCCATTAATTTCAGTAAAATAGTGTGTTTCTGTACACTGAGCTGGAGTTCTGCTGCTCCTCAGTAAATTATATACCAGGGACTTTGCCTGTATTTCTGCACAAAGGGTTTTCAATAGGGAAACTGAGACTTAACAAATTTTGTGACTCTATTTGTACCATGAGGCCATTTTATATAGCTGCACCAAGAAAAAAAGGTCATAAGTATTAATTTGCATAACTCTCTGTTGATATTTCAGTTGAGACAGTGACACATTTTTGGTTTACCTGTGATGAAGTGCTGTGAGTGGGCCGAGACATGGCACTGACACTGCTTGTGGGAGTAAAACTGCTGTGGGACTCGGGCTCTGCATGTTGGAAGGAGAATGTCTCAAACTGAGTGCTGCTTTCCCCTGTCATAAAAAACAGCAATAAATAAGACATACTGCATGTTGGCTATTAGACTGCAGAAATTTTTCCACACAGTAATAGTAAAGTCATTTCTAGAAGCCCACAGTGAGCCACTTACAATTTACTGGATACTAAAAAAAGCCATCTAAATAAACATTTGCTATTCATCCTGTCATTGTTGTTCCATGAAACTCATCCCTCTTTTTCTAGGAAGGATTTCTTCTCATGGAAACAGCTTCATATGGGCAAATCCTGACTTTTTTTTTTTCAGGAGCTGTCAGACTACACTCACAGCAAATACAATCTGATTTAGATTCCCCCTGTTCCCCAGCAGCAGTTGGGGAGCATCTCACCAGTTCTCCTGGCTGTTTCTTCCTTAATAAATGATAAAACTGGCAGCAAGGGTAACAAAAAAAATCAGTTTAGATCTCCAAACCAACAGCAGTTTCTTCTGATTCATTGCTCCAGACAAACTGTAATTCCTATTTACCAGTACCAGTATAAGCAGTATTTAGAGGGATTCACAATTTAACCACCTGTTCTCCTTTCCTTCTACCTAATTTCCAGTAAGAAAGGAGAACTCAGCCTTAATATACCAATGAACAAAAAGAATGAGTATATTTCAACATGGAAAAAGAGGTGAGACTGATCCTAGAGACTGTATTACACAGGCTGGGTCAAGGTAATGAACTACCATCTCCCAGGCAGCTCTGCACTCCCTGGCACACAGCTTTTATTTTTGGCCTTGTTCATTAGGCTGACCTTCCTCATGGATAATTTCTCCTAGACAGAGCCCAAATTAGGAATAAATATGTAGTACTAAACCCATAGCACTAATAAGCTAGAACTTGTGCTCCTACTCATGAATGCACCACAGAACAGTTTTCTGGCTCTGGGATGATCCTCATGATATAAGACTGCTTTTTTGGTTCCATTTATAAAAAAACTAAATACTATTGTCAGAAGACTAATGGTAACTTGAAAAGGTTTACAGCAAGATGTTTTCTCTCTTATTAGTGCTCCCAAGTAACTCCAGCTGTTGATCTCAGTGTTCATGACTACACTTTGGGAAACTGAGAAAGTCAGCATCCATCTCTTGGGGACCAGCAAATGGAGCAGGTGGCATGGGAAACAGGATCACTGGTGGTGAAAGGGGACAGGGCACAGCACCCCCTTGGACACAGGCACAGAGGGCAAGAGAAGGCTGTACAGCAAAGCCAGGGCTGGACTGCACCAGGGGAAGCATTCAAAGGACAACCCTCACCTAAATCCAAAGCAGTTTCAGCGTGCCCACACACAGAATTTATTCTCTTCTAAGACCTCCTAATTGTTCGTGTGGTCTTGCTTTGGGGTTGTGGATTGTGGGTTTTGGGGTTTGTTTTAATCCTAGATCATAATTTTTTATTAATTCATCTCTGCAGTAGTTCCTGTATCTCCACCTCTAGTGAAAGATTACAGTTTTGACTGGATATGCACCACCAGTTAATTTCTCCACAATGTTAGCTGATCATTTATACTTTTTCATTCTTTCCTAAGGGAAATTTTAAACAAATATGCTCTTGCTCTGTGACTTACTTTCTTCAAATGTCTTGTGAAGAATTTTGCCAAAGGTTTTCCTAAAGTTACATAAATGAATCTGTAACAGAATCTGTTAGGCTTTACATTCTAACAGCCTGGAGAGGTAAGCTGCCATTTATCTTAACAGTGGTATGATAAATTTTGTATCCCTACAATTATCACATTATTCTACAGAACTTTTAGGGCACTTTCTATTAACTTACCAAGTGCTGAAGTAGAGATTCAGTGGCTTAAAATAGAACAGTAACAAGGGTAAAAACACAGTAAGAACTGGCTATCCACAAGTCCTCTTAGAAGTCTGGAAGGGATCCAGAGCCACCAATGACAGTACACAACAAATGAAATACAGTGGACAAAGATGCCAGGAATAGTAAATGTTTCATTGGGCACATGATGTAACAGATAACTTTGCAATGTTTATTTCATTGACTACTATTAAAAAAACCCTTTTGTACTAAGAATGACACCCAGTATTAGAAGAACACAGCTGAACTGCTGAGCAGTTTCCTTTAAGAGTACTCCAAAAATAAAATATAGCAGCTTGTCTCATTCTCTATGTACACTTAAGAAGAAAGATGATTACTATGCTTTAAAATAGCAAATTATTTTCACGGTGTTCTAAGGCTGTTTCTTTGTAAGTTTCATAACAGTATCCTTTTTGGAGACAACTCAATTCTCAGAGCCCAGTGATATTCACACAGTACATATTTTAAAAGATGTTGTAGTCTCTTGCAATGCTATTTTTCTCTTACCTACTGCTGTCTCACTTAGATGTCTTTTCTTTCTTCCTTCTGATAGCTGGTCAGGTGTTCCCAACACCAACTGAGATTTGGAATTAGACAAACAGCCACTGCTCCATTGTTTGACAGAAACATGTGGATTGTAGTCTGTAACAGAAAAAGCACTTATCAAGTTGAGAAATTACTTTTCATTGGTACAATGTACAGGAAATCTCAACTGCTGCACTATTTATAATAGCCCCAAACTTCTGATAGGAATCCAAATAATAACAGGACTGCAGTCAGGCACCTGGTCCAAACTGCCCCCACTTGCAGTATCCTCCTACAGCTCTGGTGGGATCATCTCAGTGCAAATTAGGGACAACCTGACACTGTGGTCTGAGAAGAAATTTTTCTTCCACCTAAAGCAGCATTCAGATACCTTCTCTGATAACCTGCTTTGTGACAAGTTTATAAACTGAACCTCTTCATGGCAGAAAATACTGATGAATGAAAAAGCTAAAACATTTTTCTTTACATACCATTGTCAGCAGATACTTTAAAGTCCCCTCCCAAAGATGAGGTATCAGCAGGTTCTCCTTTGATGTCATCCTTCCTTAATAATGTTTCAAAGTATATGTGAAGAGGAATATCTAATAAAAAAACCAGAAATCCAAAGGAATAGCATCTGTATTAGAAAGATGGCAACCTCTGAGCCAATGAATTCTGCATCATCACTGGAGCATTGATTCACCCATCACATTCAACATCATCTGTGAGCACTACTGCTAAGGACTGAAACAGACTCTGGAGGGTATTGAGTGAGAGTAAGACTGGGGTCTTCCCTCTTGACCAGCTCCTGCACAAAACCCAGCAGAGCAGAGAGCACACAGTGCACTTCTCCTGTAATGTGAAGAGGCTTTGCTTCAGCCTTTTGGGTACAAGTCATTAATGCTTTTGGAATTTGTTACTGCTGGGAGCCTAGAAGTGTTTTTAAGGTACATTCCCTCTCTGTCTCCCTGGAAAAGTCTACAGCAGGGCAATGTAATTCATTTTCTGATTGGAGTTCTGATGCAGAATTCGCCTGCCAAACATTTCAAGTGATCAGGAATCTACCCACTGCTGTAAGGCAGGGAGGCTTAAAAAAAACTATGAAAAGCCTTTCTGGAAAAAAAATACAAAAATGAAGGGAAATGTAATTGAAAAAAGTGTCAATGTAATAAGTAGGCTTGACAGTTAGCACATTCAGAATGAGAAGAGGACTGTGGGCAGGCATGAAAAGCCTTTCTGGAAAAAAAAATACAAAAATGAAGGGAAATGTAATTGAAAAAAGTGTCAATGTAATAAGTAGGCTTGACAGCTAGCACATTCAGAATGAGAAGAGGAGTATGGGCAGGCCCAAGGGTGGGCATTAAACTACATCCAGGGCATGCCAGGACAAGAACTTTCAACATTATTTTGCTAAATAAAAATAACTATTTTCTTTTCAATTTGATATGGATCTAACTTGATTGCTTTATCTCAACACCCCAAGGTTTTTGCTGTGTTTCCTACTCTGCTTCCAAGTTAAACAAAGAAGGTCTGAAAGGTGTATTAGTCACAACATTTAAGTAAAGAGAGAAGCAAAACATTTCTCCAATTTTGTTGGTCTTTTGGTTGTTTTTTGTTGATGCTGTTTTTGTTGTTGTTTTGGGGGGTTTTTTGTGTGTTTTTGTTTGTTTAGGTGTTGGTTTTGTTTGTTTTGTTTTTTAACCTGGGAAACCACCTGGGTGACCCAGATTTTTTACCATCCTGTATCTTCATTGAAAGGGCAGGAGTGCTTGTTTCAATCAATCCACAGCCTAGGTGCAGAAATACCAGAAACCCAAACTTCCTAGATACAAACTACAATTTTCCATTTATCAAGGTGCAAGTTGAAGGAGGTGCTGTTATGTTAAAGCAATACTGCAACCACTGACATATATTTAGTCAAGATCCTTGGTAATTTGAAATTTGTGAAAGAAAGACTTAGACACAGAGACAATTATGCTTCCAGAAGAGAGCACACTATGAGCCAGTCCCACTGCACTATTTACCAGATTGTCTGCAAATTATGGTTCACCTTTAAAGGAAACCACATGAAAAACCAAGGAGAGAGAACATCTGAGTCTTGAACTTGAATCCCTTCTTGCACGCATACACACAAAAAAACCCAAATTCCCAGAGTTCCAAAATGAAACAATGTATTTTTAACATACAGAGAAAATGAATGCAAAACCCTTTTCTTTTACTCTGCTGACAATTTTTATATATAAAGATGTGGGCACAGCACAAGCAGTATTTTAAGAGAAGCTATTGCTCTGGAAGGGGATAACCAAGAAATCTGCAAAGGAAAAATGAAATGGAAGTAGGCTACAACTTGGAAAATTTCTACCATGCATTTATTCACAATAATGCTTTCACATGAAAGAAAATGTCAAATAGACTTGTCTTCATGAGGAGGTAGAGACAGCAAGGTGCACAAAGTAAAGCATGAATCCCTCAAATGTGAGGGCTGCATTTGAACAGGAGATAGCAGCTCTAGTACTTCTTCCCTGTCTCAACTATTATTAGCAAGGCTCCTGGAAAAGAGAACAAATATTCCTTAAGAAATATTTTCTTGATACTGGAATGAAGCTAAAAACATTTTTCCTCCTCCATCCTGGCAAAGTGTCCAACAGTAGCCACAGCACAGTCCAAGGCTTTTTAGGCTTTTTATGATGACAAAGCTTTTTTTGAGAAAACAAAAGCTCCATGTTCTTGCTACACAGCCCAGTCTCCTTAAACAGGGAGGTAATAATGAACAAAAGGGCCACAGACCTTCCTTGAACAGATGTCTAAACCCCTGGGGTCCAGCTGTGCTGCCAGAGTCACAGGGGATGTGATAGTATGTGTAAAAGAAGAAAGATTTAGGTGGTGTTTTTCTGTCCACAACAGAGTTCTGCTGACTGGGATGTTTGCTGTTGCACTCTTGAAGTGATTGTTCCATTTCTCCTATCTGCTCCTACAATAATCTCCTCTTTAACCCATGCATGGGATGCAAACTGCCAGAGCTGAGGCTTTCTCTGGATTCCATGTCCACACTTGGGTCTTCTCTACAGGCCAGTGACAAATTCTCCAAAACCAAGCCTTTATTAATTCCTGACTTTTTTATACAAGGCTGCAGTGTCTACTCTGTCATTCTGGGAAGACAGTGGACTTGATTAAAGAGTCAAAAAGTTCCATGGAAGTCTCAGCCTCATCTCCAGAATTATTCTGTGGCAAAGAAGTGTCCCCCCCACAACAAAGAGCAACATAATTCCTGTACTGGTCAGTAAAAATAGGTTTTTCCCAAAACAAAAAAATCCCACAAAAATTCAATCCCTTCTGCTGGTAACAGCATTTAGGCTGTTATTTTGAAGTCCCAAGTACTGCCAAGTTGCACCTGCACTAATTTCAGGGCTGAGTCACAGACAACATCCTCTACATTACTGTCCAAAAAGACTAAAAGATCAGATGACAAGAAACCATAAAACTTCAAAGGTAATAAAAAAGGATGACTGTCACAAAAATAATTAGAAAACCTAAATAAAGTTTTTTAGACCTAGTCCAAAGGGCCTGAACAGAAAGTTGCTTATGAAAACAATATAACGATGGTATTCTGTTGGCAAAGCACCATCTCTAAAGGACTGACCCTGACTCAATCAGACACACCATGAGACACCCAAGCACACCTTTTCTCATGACCAGTCATTCAAGGCTGTAAGCACATTGCTGGTATGAGAAACCTAGGTGTGTTTCAAAAGTCAGGATCAAGTAAAGATTTTCATTTAGTCTAAACTCATGTATTTTGACAGTGTGAAGTATTCTGTTAAGATAACTAAGTCCTGAAAATCATTGAAAAGACAAGTCAGTCCACAACCTGTACAGCTGTCACAAGCACAAGCACTCTGTTAGGTCATGGCATTACTCACCTGAAGGGAATGATAAGACTGGATGGAAGGAAGAGTCCAGCTCTTGCACATAATCTAGGATTTTAGATTCTGTGCTGTACTCACTGCTGAAAGTGGAGGCTGGCACCACAGATGGAAACTGAGTTTTATATGGAAAGGAGGCATCTCTAGATGGAAAGGTCTGCAAGAATACACAGAAACAAAGGTCAACTTTTCCTTTCGTCATGTCCTTCAAATTAGAGCAGAACAGGAAAAATACCCAACAAATCAATAACTCAGTGAGTGACACGTTAATATGTGAATGGGAAGAATATTCCAACAATCTCCAGATAGTCTAAATATGACTTACCTTGACTTACTATGGACAACAGTGCACAATACAAGGAATACAAACTGCTCATTCAATTAGGACCAGGAAACAGCTGTCAAAGCTTTCAGATAAAATGTAACTCTTTCCAATCATTCTTTTGATCGATCCAATGACAAACAAACACCCCTTAAAATCTGATTCTAGGATAACAGGCATGTTATAAATGCACAAACAAACCTACACCAGAATAAGTATAGAGGTCTCATTCATTTATTCTCTTAGTAAGATTCTTAGCATCAGTATCTCTAGGCACCTTGAGCACACACATTTTAATGCAAGAAACTATACTGAACATTTTGAGCATACTGTGTACTTACACAAACCAAAAAGACAAAGTCTTTACCTTCTTCTAATTTAAACATCAGATAAGCAACAGAAAGAAGACATACAGCAACAAACACAGAGAGGGGATGCATTAAGAACTGATTAATAGGTAGTAAAAGGAATTGCTAGAAAGAGGAAAGGTGCAAAGCAAGATTCATGTAGCTGCTTGGGTGCAAAGCTTGTTTAAGTATGGAAGGTAAAATGATGGATGGATAGAACCAGTAGATGTGAGGTAGCAGGACTGAGGCAAAAGGCAGAGTAAAAATGGGCAGGAATAAGCAGCAGAGTGCAGGCCACAGACTGAGCTCTGAAAGACAGAAGGAAAGAATTAAATGTGATGATATGAGACAGCAGCAAATAGTGGTCTGTGCTTCTGAATGTGCTACAAAGAGCACTTCAGGGAAATAATGTGGCATAAGCTACTTTCTTACTGGATACTTGTGGTAGTTACCCCAAAGATTAGAGGCTTCTATAGGTTTCTGATACTTTGTCAAATGCTGCAGATCCTGCAAATGGGAATGGAGAGAAAGGGACACTGGAGTACTTAGGGGGAATCTCAAGCCTATCACTGCACCATCAATCACATTTATCAACCCATGGGAAACAGTTCCAGTGTCAAAAACTGTAAGAATGAATGACATTTTCTTAGGACTTTTTATGGAAACATGTAACATCAAAGGTGAGACTCAAAGAACATTACTTGCATTTTCTGTATTTCTGCTTTCTGAATGAAAGACAACTCTTTCTCCTGTCTGAAATATTCCAGGCTGCACTTCAGCACTGGCATTCATGAATTAGTGATGCAGGGATGGTATCTACCACATAAAATTTCCTGCACTTAGTCAAAGCAGTCCTTTTGCCACGTGGCATAAATATTCACAACCCACATTACCTCAGAAAATATTACATTAAGAAATTCCCCTTTCTTTTGAGTTACTGAGTTTTCTATGCTGGTACTGTATCTCAGAAACTACTAAAATCAAGTAATCACATTATGATGCTTGAGCAGAGAACACAATGATGGGGAGGGGAGGTTCTTGTATTTAACTTTTTTTTGCCCCAGGAAAAAATTAGCAGTCCTAAATCCACCTTGATCTCCATACACAGGTGTAAGCAATTGGAAAGAATTATTTCCTAGCCCAGGACTCCTTCAAATCAATGTTCTGTTATTTTCCTGTGACAGACACATGGGACTTTTCATGTGTTAAACTTTAAATATCCATGAAGTGTTGGCAGAACTGGGTCCTGTGTTTGGAAACACTAGAGGGATAAATGCTAAAGTGAACTTAATGTTTCCCATTATATGGAACATTACACTAAAGCTTAAAGAGCTTTTAGGTAATTGCTCTACGTCAATGCACTAAGGACTTGCTTTTCAAAAATGTACAAAAGCATATTGCTTGTTGATATTTGGGTTTTAGAAATTAAGTAATTTACTAAATCTCTACTCTTTAAGCTGCAACAGCATCACTTCTGCCTGTCCTTTATTTGATAACAGAAGTGAAAACTTGCTCTACCTCAATGCACTAAAGACTTGCTTTTCAAAAATGTACAAAAACATATTGCTTGTTGATATTTGGGTTTTAGAAATTAAGTAATTTACTAAATCTCTACTCTTTAAGCTGCAACAGCATCACTTCTGCCTGTCCTTTTTTTTGTTAATATAAGTGAATCACATTACAGTAGATAAATCTTTCACTCATTGTTTAAAAAGAATTTCCCAAAAACTAATCAGTAAAATTACCTAGAAAGTATATAGATAAGACCAAGACATTCTGACATCCAGACCTATAGTCCTTACTCACTTTTTCTTGCTTTAATTCACTTCACCCAAACACATCCAGATCATTACTGCTGAGTCAGTTCAAAAACATGCATACATGGTCCAACAACCTCACAGGCAAAATCCATTTTGAAACTATACTAAAATCCATTTGCCAATATCAGTAAGTGGAGAATTCTTCTCTTCAACTTGCCTGTGGTGGGAATTACAAAACCTTAAGCCTGAATTTGTGCCTTGAATGCTCTGGCATCAACACTGATGAAATCTTCATTAAGCCAGTTTGTAATCCAAAAGAAAATACAAACTTCATAGAAGGAAGAGCAATTTTATTTAAATGCCTGTGAAGCTACTAGGGAAAAAAAGCTAAGAAATTTGTCAATGTCTGTGTTCCTAGCTACCAGATCTGGTTTAAGATTCTGATGGAGTAGTCTTCCACTGGAAAATGCTGAATTAGTAAAATCATGATGTTTCTCAGAAATGCTGAATTAATAAACTCTTGATGAAAAAAATTCAGAAGCCCATAGCACTGGAATTAAAGTATTTCACTCAAAGAAAGTGATTCAATTTTTATGGAAATAAAATGGAAGAATTGTTTATTGGAAAACTAAACTCTTCCTGCTTCCAATTCCAAACAGAATACAGTCTACAAACCAACTGCCTTACACAGCAGTCAATTATTGAAACTTTACACAGCAACAAAAAAAAAATCCACCACAACCCAGCTGAAAACAAGCCCACATGGCTGAATCCATTCAGGCACTGACACAGAACACCATGGCACACAGCTTTCAGGAGACAGGCCCCTACAGCAAACCTGACCATGCCAACCCTTCAGAAAGCAAGAGAGATGACAAAACTCTTATAAATCTTCCCCTTTCCCCTTGCTATACCACACCTTGCACATCTCCTGAAACATTTTTCTTCATTACTGAAATACAAAACTTCATGCTTCCTGAGCTCAAGCAGATATGAAGGATAATATTACACAAAATTCATTGTATTAGAGAAAATTCACTGTATTTAAGAGGAAGTGAGGAGTGTGCAAGCTTTAAATATTCAAGTAAAATAGCAGCTCTGGTCTAAACTTATGAAACTTATGAAATGGAATGGTGTCAACCAACAGACTCTAATTCTCTAGAGTAATATGAATTTTGAACTGGGATTTTTCCTCCTTAGTACTGCTTTATTGGGTTACAGAAAACATAGAGAGTGATTAATTTTGATACTCAAAACAATTCTTGTGCTTGCTTGTGACAGACTGATGCATAAAGTAGAATTGGCTCATGCCTCTGTTCTTGAAGGGTCAGAAGGCAGAACTCTACTGGCCATCCCATCCTTCTGCAGAGAAAAAAGTGTGAGTTTATGAAACATGACATAACTGAAAGGAGAAATGTTTTGTCCTCCCAGTTAAAAAACTGTGAAGTGAATTCTCATTTTGTGGTTTCAGCTACTGATCACTAAAACTCCTACCAGTTCTGGAAACATGCCCAAATGTAACAGCACAGAGAGCCACAGTTCAATTATGCCACTGTGTCTGAATCCAGGAAGGTAATTAAATTAATTCAAATACACTCTGCTGAATACCTGTCACATCTGCTCCTGATTACTCTTATTAAGCCCAAAAAGGCAAGGAAAAATGCATTTATTCTCTCTACAAACACACTCTCAGGAGTTTTCAGGGATATCAAAGAAGAGCTATCTCCCTCGATATTAAAAACTGTTCTTCAGTAAATGGGTAGCAGAGATTTAACTATGGGCCTCAAGAGAACCTCTGTGTGGGTGGCTGACAGCTCACCTTTGAACACCAAACACCAAACACATCACACACTGACTCAACACCCTGCTCTGAGCAGAGCTGTGCCCCTCTGGCAGAACACACAGCTCCATGAAACCTTGTGCTTCACAGTGGAAATGTGCACGTCTCAAGTGCAGAGTGCTTTTGGGCAACACACAATACACAGACACTGAAAGGTTAATCTGAAAGCCCCCAAGAGCTTCTTTCTTATCAACAGGTAGTGGGAAAGAGGGTGGGAAAAGCATCTAAGGCATCCCTGCATGGGAAGGTGCACAACAGATGGTGCTGACACACACACACACATCCCTGCCACGTGTCAGACCCTCCCCTCCAAATGAAGTTTTTCTAGAAGTCAAATGGATGTGCTTTCCCATGCATGTCAGACACAGGGATGCAAGCTGCCCCAGGATGTAAAATTCACCCGCCTTGGCCCCTCTAAAGTTGCCAATAAACTGGCAGATCCTATGGCAGAGATCAGGTTTTTTCCAGGAAGAGAGGGAGAGTTTCATAAAACACTAATGAAAACTTACTCAGCATCCAACTTGTCACAAATTCAGATTTTTTGGTCAGTATCCTACAAGGAGTGATAATTTCTACTGTTCCCAGATATCACCCACCTCTCCTAAGCATACATGGAGTTTAGTTTCTTTAATCCTGCAATAAGCAATGACTTTCACCTGCCCTGTAGAAGTGCATGCTGTCTTTTACATCCTGAAACAAAGTTGTTTTGTTCAACTAGAAAATCGATTGAAAAATCAAGGTTCGTGCTCAATCTTTGACCAGTTAAACCAAAAGAAAGATATATTAATCTACAGGGATATCTTTCTTCTAAAAAACATCAGAAATTAAGAGTAGATGTGATCAGTAAAACACCACAGAAATGTCAGCACACTAAAGGTGCAAGACTGT